GCAGTTTCTTTATCCACTCATTGCTTGATGGACATTTGAGTTGGTTCCATAATTTTACAATTGCAAATTGTGCTGCTATAAACATGCGTGTGCAAATATCTTTTTCATATAATGACTTATTTTCCTCTGGGTAGGTTCCCAGTAATGAGATTGCTGGATCAAATGTACTTCTAACAAAAGTATAAACTTTAATGATACTTTCATATCTTTTCTATATTTTATTTTAACCAGTGGCCATTTTACGTATTTGCTAAATATGTAGCTGCATCATTCATTCTTGAGATTCAGCTTCTGATTACCTTTTAAAGTATTTTTTGAAAATCTGGCATTAGGAAATTAAACTTCTTCTGCAAGATCCAGTTTTCTCCAGAATAAACTTTTTGAAGATTTTTTTCTTTTTCATAATTTAAAAAAAAATCAGGTTTACAATATATTGAGAACATAGACATATAGGGGAAAAGTAGATATTCTACCACAAGGTTAACACATTTCAATGCATCCTTCCAGCCTCTTCTCTACAAAAGATTTTTTTAAAGAAAAATGGGACACTTTATATACTGTCTCATAATTTGTGTTTTTACCTAACACTCCCATGTATTTCCAGGTTTATAGATGGCTACCTTTTAGTAATTTTTATAACATCATTTTATAGATCACTATATAAGAAGTTTCTCTGTTAGGTAATTTCTGGTACTTCTAATGTTGTAAATAATGTTACAAACACCCTGATAGTAAATTGCTTTTACATCCATCTAAGATTAATTTTTATTGAGAATTCCTAGAACAAAAATGACCCTTTCTAAAGCTTTTGATATGTTTTGTTAGTTTGGTAACTATAAAGTATCTTTCTAATCTAGTCTCCTTCCTAATTGCCCATTTTTTTGTACCCTCACCTTCACTATCTATATTTAGCCAGATTTCTAAATGAATATGTCACTTCGCTGTTATTTTAACTTTCAGTTCTTTATTTGTGAAATAAAATTGTTTATGGTTTTGCTTTTAGTTTTTGTTAGGAGGCAGAGGAGTGTGTGTTTCTTTCTTTGAAAATTGCTCGTGCTGCTATTTACAATAGGAAAGACTTGGAACCAATCCAAATGCCCATCAATGATAGACTGGTCAAAAAAATGTGGCACATATACACCATGGAATAGTATGCAGCCATAAAAAAGAATGAGATTATGTCCTTTGCAGGGACACGAATGAAGCTGGAAACCATTATTCTCAGCAAACTAACACATGAACAGAAAACCAAACCCTGCATATTCTCATAAGTGGGAGTTGAACAATGAGAACACATGGACACAGGAAGGGGAACATCACACATCCAGGCCTGTCAGGTGTCGGGGACAAGGGGAGGGGGAGCATTAGGACAAATACCTAATGTATGCAGGGCTTAAAACCACCGTAGCACATGTTTACCTATGTAACAAACCTGCATGTTCTGCACATGTATTCCAGAACTTAAAGTAAAATTTAAAAAAAGAAAAGAAAGTTGCTTGTGCTGGACTTTCTTTTAGAAGATAATTTAATTTTTATTCAATAATATTTTTCTTGACAATTTAATTTTCTTTTTTTTTTTTTTCCATTTATTTATTTTATTGTATTTTAGGTTTTGGGGTACATGTGAAGAACATGCAAAATTGTTGCATAGGAACACACATGGCAGTGTGATTTGCTGCCTTCCTCCCCATCACCTACATGTGGCATTTCTCCCCCTGCTATCCCCCCCAGCTCCCCACCCCCCACTGTCCCTCCCCTATGTCCCCGCAACTGACCCCATTGTGTAGTGCTCCCCTCCCTTTGTCCATGTGGGTGTTGGACAATTTAATTTTCTATTCAATAATTTTTTTTTGGTATATTTCAGGATGCTAAGTTCCACTTTAACAAACTAAATGACTGTGCCTCTAAAATTAACCTTTTAGTAAGATGACTTGTGTCTTCCATTTACTGGCAAGTAGATTCAAAAGAAAATCATAAATACTTCTTTAGTACTGATTTAATTGTTTAATGATGCTTACATGTTATTATTAAAGTAGACCAGTGGAAGGAACCTTGGATCAGGCTAAATCTGTATAGGACCAATCACACTACCCTGGGAAAGCCATAGTCCAGTTTCTTCTGTAAAATAAGATTGAGTTACTTTTCAGAGTTGTAATAGGAATTGAGAATTGTCTCTTTCAATATCAACAACAGTATTTTGGCACAAAGTAGATGTCCAATAAATGGAATCATTAGTTATTATTAGCCTCTTTTGGTGTTATTTTATTTTAACATGTTCCTTATTTTACTGGTTTTTCAAACTGTAGGTCTCAAATTATGAGTGGATTGTGAAACTAATGTACACAACTTTGAGATACAACTAGAACTTTTTAGGAAGAACAGAGCAGAATTAACTATATCTAAGTATTTCACAGAAGTGTTTTTATGTGAAACTTTTCTTCGGTATATAACATCTAGGCAGAGAGAAGTGTGTACACTGGATGACGATGTAAAATGACCTCTTACTATGAGTTGTATCTAAAACTCCTTCACAAACAGGATTATATTAGATACTTGTCTCATAGTTTGCAAGTCTTTTGATGCTATAGTGGCTAAGACACCTTGGTTCAAATTCCCGTTCCATTAATTACTACTGTATGACTTTAACTGCCTGACTTTTACTGTATAACCTCCTATGCCCTAGTTTCCTCACCTAAGAAAGGGGTGATAATTATTCATGGGAGTAATATGAAAACTACTATATGCTTTAATATGTGTAAACCACTTAGCAGGTGCTCAATAACTGTTAGCTTATTTTATAAAGACTGATTAGAATAACTTTTTTTCTGAATAAGCAAACAGTATACATAAAAGAATATAAAGTCATCAGTCTGGGCGCGATAGCTCACACCTGTAATCCCAGCACTTTGGGAGGCCAAAGTGGGCAGATTACTTGAGATCAGGAGTTTGAGACCAGTCTGGCCAACATAGTGAAACTCTGTCTCTACTGGAAATACAAAAGTTAGCCAGGTGTGTTGGTGTGCCCCTGTAATCCCAGTTACTCAGGAGGCTGAGGCAGAATTGCTTGAAGCCAGGAGATGGAAGTTGCAGTGAGCAGAGATTGCCCCACTGCACTCCAACCTGGGCAACAGAGGGAAACCCTGAAAAAAAATGAAAAATGAAAAAGTCATCACATTAGCCAGGACTGAAGAATCAGGTAGTTTTTCCATCCACAAATATGATGCTTCCTGATAAGCATCTTATTTCCATAAATATGAATTTTCAAAAACCAAGTAACTATTCTTAGTTTTGCTATTTACAAAAAATGTTATCTCTCAAGATATGAAGGAATAAAAATAAAACACTAATTAATCAATTAGTTTTTGTCAGTATATTAGATCCTCAATTACCCATTATATTTTTTTGTTTTATGAATTTTTTAAATTTCACAGTGGTATGCACTAAGTAAAAAGAACTTTGTCTATATTCAGCCTAACAACAGAGCAAGATCCTATCTCATAAAAGAGAGAGAACTAGTCAATTATAAAATAAAAATTCTTATCTATGTATATGTGTTAGTCTCAGCAATGATCTCCTAGAAGTAGATCCAAAATCTCTGGTTTTAATTAAGATTTTAATAAGAATCCTATGCATCTGAGATTACTCTATTTTCAAATGTACTTTTACTAAATTACTCCATTTTCAATTGTACTTTTACTAAATAAGTGTACATAACTAACTCACAAATCGTTTGAATTCCATTTTTTTAAAAAATTGTTTGCTGATTATCTCCATGTCTTTGCAAAATAAAAGGCTTTTATAAGTTCAACCACTTTTCTGTTGAGAATATGAAGTGAATCCTGTCCAGGCCTCTTTACTTACCTAGTTATGCCCCAAATCATGCCCATTCTCTCATCAGAAGGCCTGAAATCTTAAGTTGTGCAGGAAAATTACAAAGTCCAGAATATTTTTAGATCGAAGAATATTCATTTCTACTCCTTTAGAATAACTTCCTTACAATTGTACCTTCACATGTTCTAAGAAAAATCTAGGAAGGGCAGGTTTTAGTCCTTCATATTTCAGAAGATGACAAATTATGAAGTCAAATGACTTGTTAAAGTTTACTTAGCTAGTGAAGAAGATGAGAACTGATGTCTTCTGAATTCACAGCTAAGATGTTTTTATTGATCATTTTATTAAGTGTTTTGGGATATTTTGGAGGTGAACAAATACTTAAAATAATTGAATAAATTAATAAAATAAAATATTCAAATTAATAAGCTAAATAAAGTAAAATAATGAAACTTATACGTTGTGTTTCATTAGCAGGACTATGATATATATAGTCAACCATGCCCCATTTATAGTGAGTTTAAAAAATTACCCAGCAAGACAAGCGAATTATTGATCAGAGTATTGTTTACAATAAATGTCAAAAAAGTGATTGGGGTGAAAGCTTACCATCAATAAATAATATTCAAGCACCAATTATTGTAATACATTCATAACATGTTTGAGTATCAATATTATAAATAGTATATTTATAACCATTTTAAAGTCACTAGCATTTTGAATGTATGTTATCATTTATTAACATTTCTAATACAAATATTACATCTCTTTTTTCCTTTTAAAAAATACAAAATAGTTAATATATAGAGCATGTATTTCATCAATAATTGTTTCATACACATTTTGGTAAGATACGGGTTAAAAGTTAAATATACACAGCAAATAATCGGCTCTATAAATAACTAATAGATTTGACAGTATACATAGCATTGTTGGGAGAGAATGCTATTCAGTGACTATGTCTGGTCTTACTTTCTGGGGAAGAGGTCTTTACTCACTGTGGTTCCATAAATATTTCATGAACCAATATAAAGCAATATGCTAATGATGGACTATTTACCCAGTGAGCAGGTGCCACCTCTGGTGCTGTTTCATCTCTGGAATACCTTTGATGTGGGAGCAGTTAAGCCATTTTGAATTGTTCTATCTTTGCTTCCCTCCCCTCACAGCTTCACCTGAACCTAAAATGGTGAGCGAGAGTCACCATGAGGCCCTGGCAGCCCCGCCGGTCACCACTGTCGCGACTGTTCTGCCAAGCAATGCCACAGAGCCAGCCAGTCCTGGAGAAGGAAAGGAAGATGCCTTTTCTAAGCTGAAGGAGAAGTTTATGAATGAGTTGCATAAAATTCCATGTGAGTATTTTATAATAGTACTTGAGTAAAAATAAGTGGTTGAAAAACACCCTATCCATTGGAAAGAAAGCAGAACTCCTTTTAATATACTATAAATTTACATTTAATTTATTACTATAGGAATGATAGTATCCCAATACAAAATGAAATATTCTTGGAAATGGAATATTCTTCTTGTCTTTAAATATACTGGATAAATGAAAATCCAGTTTATAAAAAAAAAAATCTACCACTTGTCTTCAATGTAGGTAGCTTCTTTTCTTCAGTGTCTGTTTCTCTCAAGCATATTAATGTTTAGGGTTGTGTTGTATGTATTTTGGATTTACATTTATGAAATTATTTCATTATAAAGATTGTTTCTGCACAATAGCTAAGGTTTGCTTTCCCAATATCGCAGGTTTGATTTTCTGTCACTCGTTTGTCAACATTTAAAAATCTTATTGTGATTTTTTAAAGTTCCTTTATTGTGATTTTTAAAAACTGCACTTAAGTTTATTTGGATGAGTATAACACTAAGTTCAATCAGTGACATTTAACTTTTTTATTTTATTTTTATATTGACAGATAAAATTATACTGTTGTACAACATAGTGGCTATCATTAATAATATATCTATGGTGTATTCCAGAAAAATGTTAAGATAGTGAATATAAAACATCCTCACAACAAAAATGATAACTATGTGAGATTACACATATATCAATTAGCCAGGTTTAGTTATTCCACACTGTATCAAAATATCACGTTGTAGACAGTAAACATCATGTTGTACAAAAGATCTCTGGAACTTATTTCTCCTCTCTAACTGAAATGTTGTATTCTTAGACCAACATCTCCTCAATTGTCACCTCCCCTAAGCCACCACAGCCACTGGTAACCACCATTCTACTCTCTACTTTGATAAGATCACCTTTTTGAGATTTCACATATGAGTGAGATAAGGTCATATTTATCTTTCTGTGTCTGGATTATTTCACTTAACAATATTCACCAGGTTCATTCATGTTGTCATGAATGCCAGGATTTTATTTTTTTATAGCTGAATGGTATCTCATCAAGTGGATGTACCACAATCCATTCATCCGCTGATAGACACTTGGGTTGATTCAATATCTTGGCTATTGTGAATAATGCTGCAACTAACATGAGAGTGCACGTATCTCTGTCATATTGATTTCATTTTCTTTTTTTTAATTAGATTTATTTGCATATTAGCAAGTATGTGGGGGTTTTTTGGGGAGAAAAAAAGAAAAAGAAAAAAAGAAAGAGAGAAAGAGAGAAAAAAAGAATGAAAGAGAGAAAGAAAGAGGAAGAGAAAGAGGGAGAGAGAACGAGAGTCTTGCTTTATTGCCCAGGCTAGAATGCAGTCTAAGAATGGGTATTGAAAACCTCTTTTATGCCAATAATTGTGCTTAACAATGGAGACAGGAAGGGATAAGGGAGGAAAATAACAAACAAGCAGCCAACCAATATTTCATTTAAACCTGTGAAATGCTATGCAATTACTAAAGAGTGATTTACTTCCAATTATGTAGTCACTTTTAGAGTAGGTGTGATGTGGTACTGATAAGAATGTATGTTTTGTGGATTTGGGGTGGAGAGTTCTATAAATGTTTATTAAGTTTACTTGTTCTGGGTCTGAGTTCAAGTCCTGGATATCCTTGTTAATTTTCTATCTCGTTGATCTGTCTAATATTGACAATGTGATGTTAAAGTCTCCCACTATTATTGTGTGGGAGTCTAAATCTCTTTATAAGTCATTAAAAACTTGCCTTATGTATCTGGGTGCTCCTGTATTGGGTGCATATATATTTAGGATCGTTAGCTCTTCTTGTTGCATTGATCCTTTCACCATTATGTAATGTCCTTCTTTGCCTCTTTTTATCTTTGTTGCTTTAAAGTCTATTTTATCAGAGGCGAGAATTGCAACTCCAATTTCATTTTCTTTGGATACATACTCAGTGGTAGGATTGCTGGATCGTGTTGTAGTTCTAGTTTTAATTTTTAAAGAAACCTCCATACTATTTTCCATAGTGGTTGAACTAATTTACATTCTCACCAACAGTGTGCAGGGTCTCACTTTTCTCCACATCCTAGCCAACACTTATGTTTGATTTTTGATCATAGTCATTCTAACAGGCTTGAGGTGATATTTCATTTTGGCTTTAATTTGCATTGCCTTGATAATTAATGGTGTTAAGCACTTTTTCATATTTCTGTTGACCATTTAAATATCTTCTTTTGAAAAATGTCTATTCAGGTGATTTGCCCTTCTTTTGATTCGGTTTTTTGTTTTCTTGCTATTGAATTATTTGAGGTCCTCATATATTTTGGTTATTAATCCGTTAACAGTATATAGTTTGCAGATATTTTCTCCCCTTCTGTAGATTGTCCCTTTATTTTGTTGATTATTTCTTCTACTGGTGCAGAAGCTATTTAGTTTGATATAATCCTATTCATCTGTTTGCTTGTATTGCTTTTGGGGTCAAATCCAAAAAGTTGTTGCCAAGACCATGCCATAAAACTTTCTTCCTGTGTTTTATTCTAGATTCGTAATTTTGAACCTTATATTTAAATATTTAATTCATTTTCGATGATTTTGTATATGTTGTGAGATAGAGTATAGTTTCATTCTTATGCATTCGGCTATCCAGTTTTCCCAACACCATTTACTAAAGAGACTGTTCTTTCTGCTTTGTGGGTTCTTGGCTCTTTTGTTGAAAGTGAGTTGGGAGTAAATGTGTGGATTTCTTTCTGGATTCTCTGTTGTTTCATTTGTCTGTGTGTCTGTTTTTATGCTGGTACCATGCTGTTTTGGTTACTATAGATCTGTAGTATAAAACTGTAACTCTGTACGTAGTATATTGAAGTCAGGTAATGTGATGCCTCCAGCAATGTTCTTTTTGCTCAAAAAAGATTACTTTGGCTATTTAGGAATTTGTGTAGTTCCATACAAATTTTAAGATTTTTTTTCTATTTCTGTGAAGAATGTCATTGGTATTTTGTAGTATCTTTGTCTGGCATTGCTATCAAGGTGTTGCTGGCTTTGTAAAATGAGTTTGGAAGCATTCCTTCTTCAATTTTTGGAAGAGTTTGAGAAGAATTGGTATTAGTTCTTTAAATGTTTCATAGAGATCAGCAGTGAAGATATAAGGTCCTCGCTTATGGGAGATTTTTTATTACTGATTCACTCTTTTTGCTCATTACTGATCTATTAAGATATTCTATTTCTTCATAATTCAGTCTTGGTAGGTTGTAAGTGTCAAGGAATGTATCCATGTTTTCTTGGTTATACAATTTGTTGTTACATAATTGTTCCTAATAGTCTCATGACCCTTTGTATTTCCATTGTATCAGTTGCAATATCTCCTTTTTTGTTTTTTATTTATTTGAATCTTCTCTTTTTTTCTTAGTTAGGTTTCCTAAAGGTTTGTCAATTTTGTTCAACTTTTCAAAAGACCAGTTTTATTTATCTTAGTTTTATTGGTCTTTTCTGTTGTTTCTATAGTCTCTATTTCATTTCTCTCTGTGCTGATTTTATTGTTTCCTCCCTTTACTAAATTTGAGTTTAGTTTGTCTTTGTTTTTCTAATGTCTTGAGGTTCAACATTAGGCCATTTATTTGAGATTTTTCTTCTTTTTGTGATATAGACATTTATTTCTATAAAATTCCCTCTTAGAATTTCTTTTGCTTTATCCCATAGGTTTTGCTATATTGTGTGTTCTTTTTCATTTGTCTTAAGAAATTTTTTTTGTCTCAAGAAATTTTTGTTTCCCTTTTAATTTCTTTAATGATCCATTGTTTATTCAAGAGTGTGTTGTTTAATTTCCATGTATTTGCACATTTTCTAAAGTCCCTTCTGTTTTCGATTTCTAGTTTTATACCATTGTAGTCAGAAAAAAAAAATAATTTGATATAATTTCAGTCTTCTTAAATTTATTAAGACTTGTTTTGTAGACTCACCTATGATCTGTTCTGGAGAATGTTTCATGTGCAGTTGAGAACAATGTGTATTCTGTAGCTGTTGGACAGAATAATCTGTGTATGTATGTTGGGTTGATTAGAGGCAGATTGTAGTTTAAGTGATGTTTCCCTACTGATTTCCTAACTGGATGGTCTGTCCATTACTGAAAATGGGGTGTTAAGTCACTGTTATTGTATTACAGTTGATCTCTCCCTTCAGGTCTATTATCATTTGCTTTGTATATTTAGGTGCTCCAATGTTAGATGCATTTATGTTTGCAATTTTTACATTCTCTTGCTGAATTGACCCTTTTTATCATTATATAATGATCTTTCAATTTCTTCTTACAGCTTTTGTCTTAAAATCTATTTTATCTGATACCCATATAGTTATTCCTGCTCTCTTTTGGTTTCCATTTGCATTAGATATCTTTTTTCATCCCTTTATTCTGTATGTCCTTACAGGTGAAGTGTAGGCAGCATATAGTCGGATCTTTTTAAAATTCATTCAGTCACTCTATGTCTTTTGATTGGAGAATTTAACCTATTTACATTCAAAGTAATTATGAATAGTTAAGAACTTACTTCAGCCATATTGTTAATTGTTCTCTAGTTATTTTGTAGATTGTTTATTTCTCTCTTTTCTTTTTTGCCATCTTCCCTTGTGGCTAAGTGATTTTTCTCTAGTGGTCTGTTTGATTCCTTGCTTTTCATTTTTTGTGTATCAACTAGCGGTTCCTTCTATATGGTTACCATGAGGTTTTCAAAAAACATGTATAGTTATTAGAAGTTCTTTTAAGCTGTTAACAAATTAACTTTGATCATGAAAAAACCTGTACAATTTTACTCCTCTACTGCTCACATTTTGAATTTTTGATCTCAAAATTTACATCTTTTACATTGCATTTTCCTCTAAAATTTATTGTAGCTATTATTATTTTCAATTGTTTTGTCTTTTAGCCTTCATACTAAAGTTACAAGTAGTTGACACACCAGGATTACAGTGTTACAGTATTCTGCATTTGACTATGCACTTA